CTCCCGTGGCCAGGGGGTTCAGAGCTGCTGGTTCTGCAGGACCCCCCCACCTGAACCCCCCCCACAGGGGTTGGATGCTCAGGGCCAGGTTTGGGAGGTGGGATGAGCCCCATCCCCACTGCATCCCCCCCAGTCCGGGGGAGAAGGTGTGTGGGGGGGTGGCTGTGGTGGGGTCAGAGAGGGGTCGGTGCTGGGATCCGTCCCACCCTGCGTGGCTGGAGAGTCAGGAAGAGGAAGAATTCTGGGAAGAAGAAGATTTTGGGGTCGAGAGGCTCCGGCTGCCGGAGCCCCCTGATTGCACTACTGCAAAGCCGAGTCAGGCTGAGAAGCTGCACTGGAAGGGGGTGAGGGTCTCCCCGGGGTCGGGGGAGCCAAGTCCTGAGGGTGGGAGGGGCCGGCTCAGATCTCGATGACGGTGGCCCGGCGCAGGCACAGGGGGGCGTCGGGGGGCACCGCGTTCCGCTTGATCTCGTTGCCGTCGAGCCGCAGGACCTGGAGCCGGGAGTAGTTCATGACGTCCACCACGGAGCAGAAACTGCTGATGGAGAACTCTGTGGAGGAGAGAGGGTGGAGCTGAGCACAGGCTTCAGCCCCCTCCAGCCTCCCCGGTGGGGCTGGGTTTTGGGGAGCGACGTCAGAAATGGCAAAGGGGCTGCTGGGTCAGAGGTATCGACCTCTAGAGCTGCTTTATGTTAAGGTGGGCAGGGAAAAAAATAGAGCCACCCCAAATCGCTGTGAATTCAGACTCAACATGCTCCTCTCTTAAACTGAAAGGGTTCCTGATGCTCCTGGCTGCAGGCAGAAGGAGCAGGCAGGTTTGTGCCTATCCAAGGGTTTGGAAGCAGGTCCTTGGCTCCATTGCCCAGCCGGGGTGGAGCTCATAGGGTGGAGTAGGATGGAAAACATTGCCTTTCATCAGGAATTGCCTCTGTAGCCCCTTTTGGAGGCTTCACAGGCTGTAGCCTCCATCCCCTGACCCTCCCTGGTCACCATGGGACCCCCAGGCAGCGTGTCCAGGACGAAAGATGTCTCTGTCCTTATCCAGACATCCCCTGTCTGTTCGAATGCTGCCAGCGCCAGGCAGGGAAATTCCAGCCCAGCCCAGACTGGGTTTGGAAGGAGGAGATGGAACAAACCCCAACGTACATTTTTCTGTGCAGGATTTGGGACTAGAGGGCAGCAAAGCTCCAGGCCGGGATGCTGCTGGGGAAGGTGGGGGGGATGCCGGGGGACCCCCGAACGCCCGGACTGGGGGCCTGAAGGGGCACGGCCCCGGCCCGGGGGCACCCCCAGGGGTTGGTGCTGCACAGCTGGACCCGGGGGTGCCGTGAAGGTCGGTGGCAGAAGGTGCAGCGGGAGGAGAAGCTGCTGCCAAGCCCGAGCGGCTCCGCGGTGGCTCCGTGGCATTTGTGGGCAGACGGCAACAGCTACAGATTTTGAAAGCAAACATTCGGGAATCTGTTCTTGTTTCTGTGTTTCTGTCAGTTCCCCGGTGCGGGGTTGTGTGTTTTCTCTGCAACACTGACACATCCCCGTCCCCGTCCCAGCCCCCGTCCCAGCCCTGGGACTCCAACCCCCGGGGGCTCCAGCGCCGCTCCGGGAGGGTCCTGCCCTCGGGGTCGGGCAGGTGAGGGGGCAAGGCTGGATTTTTCCAGGAGATTGCTTGGGGGTTTATTTTTCTAGCTTATTTTTATAAATAGCAGCCCCAGAACAATCTGTTCCTGTTATTTATTTGTGTATTAAGCGGAGTGGATTTCAGTCCTGGCAGGAGATGCTGCGTGGAGGGCTCCGATCGCTGAGAGCTCCCGTCTGGCCCAGCCCTGGCAAGGACGAGCCCCTGGGCTGCAGGCTGGGACCCCTGGGGGGCTTTGGGGCCATGGATGGGGCCATGGGCTGTGGTGGGGCCCTGGAAGGTGGGCAGAGGGGGCTGTGCTGGCCCTGGGCACTGCAGGGGAATCCCTGACCCCTGTGTTAGTGCTGCCCAGGGTGACATGTGTTCCCACGTGCAGTGACCGTGGCAGAGGGGACTCTGTCCACTGCTGCTGACCCCTCCACCCGTGAGCACTGCTGGACTGAAGCCACAAATCCCTCCCCAGGTGGTGCCTCATCTGCCCTCTGGCATCTCCAACCAGAAGATGCTCAGGCTTCTGATAAACACCCAGAAAAAACAATGCAATGACCCCCTGGATCAGACTGCAGCATTCTGGGCTCCTTGTGTGTTGGGATGCCACAGGTCCCATTCCTGCCTTGCTCAGGGCCACCTGGAAGTCTCCCAAATTCCACCTTCCTGATTAAACCATTACCCCAGGTGGTCTCCACAGGTTCTGCATCCCCACCTCCTCATCCCCTCCATCCACCTCCATCCATCTCCTGCACCTCCATCCCTCCCCTCCATCCACCTCCATCCATCACCAGCCCCTCTCCACCACGTTCCTGCTCACCATTGATCTGGTTCCCCTGCAGGTAGAGGTTCTCCAGGTTGGTGTTGACCCGGGGGATCTTCTGGAGCCGGTTGTAGGAGAGGTCCAGCTCGAGGATGCTGCTGCTGTTGAACGTGTTGGAGGAGAGGCCTTGGTTTGTCAGGCTGTTGTGGGACATCCGGACATAGAGCAGCCTGGGAGACACCTGGAAATAGTCATCAGGGATGGCATTGATGTAGTTGTACTCGAGGTAAAGCTGTTCCAAGGACACCGGGAGCCCGTCAGGGACTTTTCTGAGGTGGTTGTAGCTCAGATCAGCAAGTATCAAAGACTTGAGCCCTTTGAGGGAAGCCCCCATCTCAAAAATGAAGTTGTGGCTGAGGTACAGGGCCGTGAGGTTCTCCAGACCCTCCAGGGCGTTGGAGGGCACCTTGGAGATCTGGTTGTAAGACAGGTGGAGCTCTCTGAGGGAGCGGGGCAGGGGGCTGGGCAGCTTGGTCAGGTTGTTGTTGTTCATGTACAGCCTCTCCAGGTTCTTGAGCTTCCCGAAGACCCTCTTGCCCATCCTGTCGCTGCTGATCTGGTTGTTGTGCAGCGCCAGCCACTCCAGCTCCGTGGCGTTGTCAAAGGCGCCCTCCTGGATGGAGGTGATGAGGTTGTTCTGGAAGTAGACGTACTTCATGCGGGAGGGCACGAAGGGCAGGTACCTCAGGTTGCGGGTGTCGCAGTACATGGCCGAGGAGAAGTTGGGGGGACAGTCACACTCCTGGGGGCACTGCCAGGAAGGGGCCTGCTGGGGTTCCGGGCCGGGCTCCGGCTCCGTGTCGGGAGCTGCGGGGTAGGAGTACACGTACGGGGGGCTCTCGTCCTCGTAGTAGGGCACGTAGTTGTAGGAGGCCACGCGGGACTGCCTCAGGTAGTACTGCAGCCAGGCCAGGTCCTCCTCCTCATTGTACTGGCCCAGCGAGGCCCCGCAGAGCCCGGCCACGATGAGGATGGTGATGGTGACCCAACACATGGCGCTGGAGGGACCTGCCGGGGGATAGGTGGGGAGGAAACTGTCAGCAGGGTCAGCTCTGGTTTCGCACCGCCTGGGAATCCAGAGGGGTGGGATGTGGGTGCTGGATGGGCTTGGTGGTACTTGGCGACAGAGCTGGAGAACCTGAGTGAATCCTACCCAAAAACCCCACAGCTGCTGACATCTCCTGTGTGCAGTTACCTGATCTTCCCCCTTTTCACCTCAAACCTGTGAGAAACCTCCACCCCAGCAGAGATTTACCTGCAAAATCCTGGTTTATGGATATTTCTGCTAGGAGTGAGTAGAAGATGGAGATACGGGACCCACGGTCTGGATTTGTGTAAGGTCACACAAGGTTTGCTCCAAGGTGCCCCGGGGTTGGCTCTGCATGGGAGGGAGGAGAAGGGACTTGGAAGCTCTCCAGCTGAGTGAATGAGAAGGAAAACTGCCAGCTCAGGTTGATTTGGGAGCTCAAGGCATGTTTTGATGGAGCTCAAGGCATCTTTCATGGAGCTCTATTTGTGCCACACTCGCAGGCGACACGACTCGCTGTGGGTTCCATCCAGCTCTCCCTTCCCCCACGAAAATGCAGGATGCTCGGGACTGATGTAAATCCTGGTAAACAAGTTCTGCCTTATTTGTGAAATGAAACCACTCCCGAGCTGAGATTCCCCCAGCTCAGCCCCGACAGGAGAAGGGGCAGCACCCGCCGGGCCCTCGGCGTGACCAGGGACAGGGAGTGTCACCAGACCTGGCAACGGGCTCTGCTTGTGACATCCAGCCTCGAGGGCTGGGGTCCAGAGGAGAGCAGGGCTGGGAGCTGGGAGCAAGGCAAAGCCATCCCTGTCCCCCGTGGCCTGGCGTGGGCTTTGCAGCCACCCCGTGCCATGCCCAGGGCACGGCGGGGCTGCAGCAGGAGGGACTCCAGCCACGGCTGCTCATCCCAGGCTGAATGAGCACACGGAGTGTCCTGGAGCCAGGCAGCTTGAAATCCCTCCAGGAAATGCTGTTGGGAGCGGGAGAGGAGTCGCTCCCTCCTGTGGCTCCTACATACGTGGCTGGGAGCTCATCCCTGCCAGCTCGGCTCCAGCAGCCGGGCGAGGGCTGAGCAGGGACCAGTGTCCCCCCTCGCCGTGCCAGGAGTGGCCGTGGGGTCACCTGGTGACCCCTCGCCGTGTCCCCAACCCGCAGCACGGAGGGGGTGTCTGGCCTGGCAGACAAAGTGGGCACAGTTTGCAGGAGGCAGCAGCTGCCCTGGCACGGGAAGAAAAGAGGGACTGAGCTGGTGGTGGGCAGACATGACTCCCTGGCTTTCTCCTCCTCTCCCTCCTTCCCCCTCTGTGTGGAAGCAGATGTGATCCTTGGGGATGCTGTGTGCCACGGGGGAGCTTGGTAGTGGCAGAGGAGTTTCTCCTCCTCCTCCTCCTCCTGCTGCTCCAGGGCACTGTGCCTGCTGACATACCAGAGCCTCTGGCTTCTCCACCCATGCAGAGCCACTTGGCAGCCCCTTCCCAGGGGCCCCTCTGGGGCAGGACCCAGCCATGGGGTCCCTCCACCTTTCCTAGTGCCCCTCTTCAACCTGCTGCTGACCCCAAGCCTGTCCCCAGCAGACACCACTGACCCTCTCTTCATTTGTGGGTGGCTTCTCCCCTCCCTGGTGGGCTTCATCCCTGATTTTGGGGGTGGGATCTGACCTGAATGTTCCAGCCTCGAGATCTATGTCACCTCCTGGTGTCCCTGCTCTGTGCCAGGGGCTGCTGAGCTAAGGGGGTCAGCTCCTCATTCCAAGAAGGAGTAGGTTTTGGAGCAAGGGGCTTTTATGGACTGTGGCCATCCATGGACTCGGCCCGTTGCTGCTGTGCCAGGCATGAAACCAGCTCCCCCCTTCCCTGGGGATGGGATGGGTAGGGAGGCACTGCCAACCCTGGGTGTGCATGGGTGAAGGTGTCCAGCTCCCAGGCGAGTGGGCATGGAGCTGCCAGAGGGGCAGGAGGGGAGGTGGGTGGGATGGGAGGTGGGCAGGAGGGGAGATGGGCAGCAGGAGAAGTGGGCAGGAGGAGAGAGGGGTGGGTTGGGAGGTGGGCAGGAGGGGAGGTGGGTGGGATGGGAGGTGGGCAGCGGGAGAGGTGGGCAGGAGGGAAGGGCTTTCCCAGAGGTGTGGGAGCTCTGGCTCTCCCAGCTGTGCCACCCGTGTCGCTGGCGTGTGCTCCCCGTGGCAGCCGCGCCGGCCAAGGGCGCAGGTACGGAAATAAAAAAAAAATAATAATAAAAAAAATCCTAATAAATGTATACAGAGCCGGACTTACCAAGGTGAGATCCTCCTCTCCAAAGCCTGGCTGTGCTGCTCCGGGCTTGCCCGTGTGTCAAGCAGCATGGAGTGAATCCCGAGCCGCAGAGCCTGGTGCCCGCCCCAGATCCCAGAGCAAATATTGTGCTTGCAGGTCACGGGCTCGCCAGGGTTTTTGGGGAGTGACCTCCCAGCAGCAGCCAGTTTGCAGGAGAGACTGGAGAGACCCTAATGCTGCCTGGTGTTATAAATAACCTGCTTTTTCTTTCCTCCCTCTCCCTCTCTCTCTCTCTCTCTCTCTCTCTCTCCTGTCTTTTCTCATAGGAGTGTTGGCACTTTTCAGGCTCTCTCTGTTTAACGACTTAGTGGAATTGGGATGTTGTTTTTAAAAGGGCTGTTGTCAGGTCTCCTGTGTTTCTCATCAGGGAGTGATGGGGAGGCCTCTGGCCAGATTAAAAAATATCGGATTTTGAGGTGCTGAGGATGGGATTCTTTGGGAGAGACAAGGAATTATCCTTAACTTTTACATTACCAGGAGGAGAGACGTTAGTGCTGCTCCCATGGCAGCCTGGGCTGCCTCTGCAGGAAGCCTCAGTTTATGCAGTCCCGCTATTAAATATTTGGGATAAACATTTCCATGAACGATAAGGCTGCAGCATCCAAGGTAAATAAATTGCCTACCAAAGAGCCACTGTGACAGCAGGAATTTGTCTCCATCTTGGCAGGACAGAGATGCCAAGCTGGCATTTCTGCAGGCTGTGCCCACCCCCCTGGGGATGAGGGGTCTCATCCATCCCCCCGAGGCTGAGCCGGGGGTGGGGGGATGGGACAGGGGAGAGTGTCCTGAGGGTGACCCGTGGTTGAGCAGAGGTTTTGGGGCTCTCTGTGCCACAGGGCTCATCCCAGTGCCAGCCTTGCCCCGAGAAGATTCCTGCAAATTGGGGGCTCAGCGGGTGCTGTCACAGGCACCCCCCAGTCCCCACCCTGGCTCCCTGTGCACTTTGGAGACAGTTCTTCCAGGGCTCTCCAAGCATTTCCTCCCACAAGGAAAGGAAAGGAGGAGCCCAAACCGCCCATCGCCGTCCCCTGCCCGGCTCCAGCAGCACGCCCGGGTCCTCCCAGGAGCCTGGAATTATTTAGTGGAGCTCAGCAGGTGCCAGCTCCCTCCGAGCTGGCTTTCTCCTCGATTTCCACAGAGATTTCCCAGCCAAAACATCCCGTTCCCCTGGGGAGCCTTGCAGAGATCCTTATCGCTCCCCAGGCCCTGCTGGGAGGAGGAGGAGGGATGTGCAGGGAGGAGGGATGTGCAGGCTGCTTGGTGGCCGGGCTGGAGGGACACACTGTACAGTGGGGACTGTGCCAGAAATCCTGTCTTTTTGGGAAGGAAGACTGTGCCTGGAAAGCACAGCTCACTGTGCCGGGATCTGCAGGGAGAGAGGATCTGGAGGAAGCCATGCCTTCGAGTGGGAAAAGAGGCCAGGGAGGAAAACCCCGGGAAAACGGGGCTTTTTTGGAAGCAACTCTTTGTGCCCTCCAAACCTTGCCGTGGCAGCTGCAGTGGTGTGGGGCAGCTGGAGGAGGGACCTCACCATGGCAAGGAGGGGCTCGAGGCTTTGGAGTGATGTGGAGACTGACCCTGCTCAGAGGGGTTTGTTCCCACTGCCAGGGAGCTGAATTCCAGGGAAAATGGTGTGAGGGCAGTGGCAGCCAGGCCCTTCTGCTGCTCAGCACTCAGATGGTATCAACCACCATCACACCTCTGGCAGCTCGAGGGGTCCCAGTGACCACATCCCCCCTTCCCAGCCCAAACCAGGAAATAACAATGAGCTCAGTCTGTGTGTCCCCTGCAGTCCCCAGGACGTGCTGTTCAATGTCATCCTGACCAGATTAGAACTATCTCAGGGAAGTGAAAACTTGCTGTTGGAGGGACAACATATGTCTTGGCTTTTTTCTCCATCCAGCCTTGGGATCTCATGCTCCACTTATCCACCATCTCCCAGGCTGCTGGCAGGGCTCCCTCACCTGGCACGTGGTGGGTGTTGATGGGACCTCGATGCTCCTGCTCATTTCAGCCCAGCACAAACCAGCTCCTCTCGCCTTCCAAGTGATTCCGTGGAGCTTTTTTGACATCTTTCCCCATAAACACCAATTCCCCTTTGCTGATGGTTCAAAGGAAGCCCTGAACTGGTGACAGGAGCTGGGAACATGTTGTCCTGCTCGCTGGAAGCCAGTGGTCCTTATCAGCACATAATCCCATCCGGTGTGGTTATTCCAGTGATCCCAGTCTGGGTCTCATCACTGCCTCTATTGCTTTGCTTTGGTTTTCCAGTCCAAACTGATGTGAACAAGGACTATTTTGGTTGAGTTTGTTCCAGTTGTTTTGATCAAATGCTTTGGAGTTTTTTAGCTGAAACCACTGAATCTGGCCCGAGTTTGCCTTTAATCTGCAAATCTGGGAGCCGGGAGCACTGGCTTCCCTGTGGATGGACATGGATTTATCAGGATGCTTTTGGCACTGGGGCTGGATGCTTCACGGCATAACAAAGAACCAAAACATTGCTGTGATGCTCCTGCTGAGGCTGGAGCTCGTTCTGCCTGGATGAAGGGAGGATTAAACCCACCAGGAGCATCCAACAACAGCAACTGTCACAAACACGGCTACTCCGGCAGCTTCCCTTTTTACTCATGGAAAAGTTATTCCTGCCTCTTCCATGGTTCCAAGAAGTTTCAACTTTGCTGGAGCTGTTGGCTGCTCTGTCCTCCCACTCCTGTTATTTTCCTCTAACTTCTCTGTCCTGGGAGGGGGTCACCAGTCCCACAGGGCTCTGGATTGTGGCTTCCCAGTCCCTCCATCCCACACGTTCTGCAGGTGATGCCCCAAACTATTCCACCCGCTCTGTCTGAGCAGGGCTGGAGGTGCCAATGGATTCCTTGGCTCCTATTTAGGCTCTGGTCATCGGAGTCCCCTAAAAGAGCAGTTGGGACCTTCACCCTCCAGAGATTTGCCTTTAAAGAACAAGGTCCAGGAGGGGACCTGCAGGACCAGCCAGGGCAGGGCACAAGCAGCCCTGTGTTCAACTCCTGGGAACACTGGTGTCCACAGGGCAGCTTGGGATTCCCTGTGCCTGGGGGAGCATCCCTGTGGCTTTTTATCACCTCAGATGCCCCCCCAGGGCTCTGCTGCTCCTGCTCAAAGGGCTCTGCCGGAAAGAGCTCACCTGGAAGCCCCCACGGCTGCAACACAAGCAGGCAGAGGAAAGATGGGCAGGGAAACGGAGTCCTGAGGGGGTGCAGGCATTGGGGGGGTGCAGGGATCACCGGGTGCCTTTGGGCTCAGCCTCAGCCCAGCTGGGTGGGGGAGCAGCCTCAGCATCTGGCAAACGGCTGCGGCAGCGGCTGCGGCTCCGCTCCCCGGACGGGAAGGGTCAGGGAGGAAGAGCCGAGCAAACCCTCCCTCGACCTCCCCGCTCACCCCGGCCTCCCTTTTCCCTTTTTTTCTTTTACAGCAATACATTCTTCAGCCCAAACAACATTCTTGAACCGAGATTTGAGGGAATCTGGAGGGAGTCGGTCACTGGGAGACGGAGCAACAGCCGAGCGAGCCCTGGAGCTCTGCTGGAAACTCTGACGGGGCTCTGCGGGCGATGCTCCGGCCCCGGGTCCCAGGGGCCGGCCCCGGCTGCTCCCGGCGCTCCTGGGATCGCCACATTTCCAGGGGAGGTGCTCCACAGCTTCCCTTGCGTGCAACGAGCTGCGAGGGCTGAGCCCAGGCCGAGGGAGGGAGAGCAAAGCCCCCACTGCCCCTTCCCCTGCCCAGCTGGGACTTGGCTGCGGGCACTGGGACGTGCTGGGAGCCAAAGGAGGCTGGGGAAGCCTTTGCCCCATTCCACTGTAATTACAGGCTGCCCCTGGGACTCTGGAACCTCAAGTAATCACTCCCTGCTCTCTGGGGGTCTGGGGATTATTAGGGGGTGGGCTCAACCCTCACAGTGCCCAGCCCCAGGAATGTCCCTGCAGCCCATTCCACAGCTCCCAACCCCCTGGACGTGGCTCTGGATACCCAACGGTCTCAGCATGTGGGCTCTCATCCCCCTCCCTGCAAATCCAAGGCACTGGATCTCTTAAATTCCCTTTTCCAGGCCCCGGTACCTCTCCCCTCACAGCATGGCTGGTGCCCTGGGCCGTGCTGGGAGAGGATGGCTCAGCACAAAGGGGGTCAGAGCTCATTGCGGCCGCTGTAAAATGTGTTCGAAAAGGTTAAGTGTTTGATTTGGAACAGAGCTGGAAACTCTGAAGCGTTTCCTCCTCCCATTGCTCCCTCGCCTGGCCCTGGCCCTGTGCTGAGCTCTGCTGACACCTCCCTGGCCAGCAGAGCCTGCCTGGAGCACACAGTGACACAGCCCGGGAGCCCCGGGGTTTGCAGAGCAGCCAGGAGAGGTTCCATGACATAATCCAAGTGCAAATCCCCCCGGGAGGGCAGGAGGGAGCTGCCAGGTCCCCAAGTGCCATCGGGTGTCCCAGCCTGCCGTGGGTTACTGCCTGTTGGGTTTATTGGGGTTGTGACACAGGTCTGTGCCCAGGGCTGGGTGGGCATCGCTCTGTTCTCCTGCTCGTGGGTGCCACGTGGTGCCAGGACCAATCCCAGCAGGATGCTGACACCTTCCCAGTCCCAGCCTGGCACTCTGCTCCCCAGGGGGATGGATGTCCACATGCAGAGCCCTGCACTCAGCCAGCCCAGGATTCCTTGACGGACCCTGGGAGGAGACAAGAGCACGGGAAGCTCCTGAGCTGGGATGGTGGTTCTGTGATCTGAGGCTGAGCAAGGTCCCAGCTGCCTCTCCCTCCTCCCCTCTGAAGGCATCCAGGCTCTGAAGGCATCCAGGTGCTGCCTGCAGCTGTCCAGGGAGCAGAAGGAAAAGACGCAGCATTTCCTTGCTCCGAGCCCTCAATTCATGTTTTCAAAGGCCCTTTGAACGATCGGCTCCTCTGCGAAGCCTCCCAGCTCTCCTGAACAAACAGCAGGAGGGAGCAGGTTCATTCCAGGCCTGGCTGAGGCTCCTGGATGGGGAAAATCTCACGTCATGTTTCCCATGAGCAGGGAGCCCCCAGAACCCTCCTGCAAAGAGCCGTCCCCAAAAGTGTCCCCAGCCCTGTTCCCAAACCTCAGGTCTCTCCTCTGCAGCCTTGAGGGCTTAGTGGAAACCTCCTCCTCCTCTTCCTCTTCGTCCTTCTCAGTGAGTTTGGTACCCAAAGCTCTCTGAAAACAGGGCT